ATACCAATATCCAATAGAAATATATAATGATGCATGGGACCTATGTCATTTCAAATGTTCTAGCAGTCACATTAAGAAAGTAAAAAGAGAAAGGTGAAATTAATTTTAATCTCATCTTATTTAACCTAAACAGTCCTTCCCTAACATGTTATCACTAGCAAAATGAAGTATTTTACATTCTTTGTCTCATACTACTTCTTCAAAATCCACTGTGTGATCTACCCTTCCAGTACACCTCAGTTCAGACTCTGCAAGCTCTCAACAGCCTCATGCGTCTAGTGGCTGCAATGGACAGTGCAGATACCGAATAATACCTGACACATAGGAGGCAGCCAGTACATATTTGTTAATTTTCTATACAGTTTGATTTTTCTGTAATATAGGAATAGGTCGTAATATTCACGCCACGGGTAGAGCGTGAGCTAATTGACTTAGCCACTTGCTCTTATTAGGCACTTGTTTTTTCGTTTTCACTTTAAAAATAATTCTGCAATGAACATCCGGTTTAACGTCTGTTTTTCCTTGGAATGAATTCCCTGAAGTGAAAATTCTAAGACAAAAGCATACCCTTTTTAGGGCTCTTGCCGCGGTTTGCCAAACTATTACCGCAGAAAGGGTATGCCACTTAGACTTCGGTGGATTTCGCTTGGTTATTAACGAACCCTCTGTGATGCTAACAATGCAAGTGTTGCTGATAATGCCTGCAACACAAATAACGTTAATAGGTACTACCTTTGGTCGGCTATATCGCACCAGGCACTGCACTAGGGATTACTCACATCTTACGGGCGAGAACCCGAAGCATGCGAGGTTAATAAGCTAACCGCTATTTCCAGAGCCTGGGCGTGTCCTCCTGGGCCACGATCTCTAGCCTTGCCAGTTTTAAAAAAAAGAAAGAAAGAAAAGGCTAACTAATGAAAAGAGGAGGAAGATAACAGAGCTGAGCTAAGGGTGAAAAGTCGACAGTCAAGGAACCCGCCCAGGGACGAGGGCGGTGCAGAAACAACCCTCGTCTTCCCGCCGCGCCAGACCCGTCACCCGAGCTACAGGTGCTAGACCCGGGGCCGCCACGCCGGAGCCGCGCCCAGACCTTTGTCCCGTCACCCTTCTCCGGACCTTCCCTACGCTCCGCCCCGGAAGGCGGAGCTTCATCTCACGACAGTTTCCACCCCCACACACACGTGGCGCAGAACGCGGAGCGGACGTGGCGTCAGCGGCGCCGTGCGCGGACTTCCGGCGCGCGTGTCACGTGTCCTCGCCGGAAGTGCATTTCTGGTCTCCCGGGCAACAGCCCCTCCCTCCCGCACCCCTTCTGTCTCCTCACAGGAAATAGGCCCCTGCTCGCCCACCGCCCGAGATCCGCAAGCAACGAGCCCACGAGGTGACTCCGGGGACGGCTGGGTTTCCTTTGGGGAGTGAGGGAGGAGCCCGGAGGCCCCGGAGCCTGGCTTCCGCAGATGTCGGGAGAGCAGAGGGCTTGCCTGTCACGTTGTCGTAATTAGCCTCATCTCGCGGGGCCCGTGAGATTCCTAAATCATTGCTGGTTAATTGTGGTAGGGGACTGGTTCCAGAGACTCTCAGCCGCCGTGCTTCGGAATCACTGGATGACTTTTAAGAATTTTGATGCCCGGGGGCCCATCCCAGACCAATTAAATTCGAATTTCTAGAAGTGGGACCCAGGCATCGGTATTTTTATTAAACTCCCCCCTCCCCCACGTGATTCTGAGGTGCTGAGTAACAGTGTGTTAAGCTAAGTCTGGATGAATTCTGACTTAGGCCATACAGCCCAGTACCTGAACAGAACGTCGCCCAGAGCAGCCTCATCCTAGGAGGGATGTCTGGAATAGTGGCCCGTCTACTCAAAACTTGGGGTTTTCATTATTTTCCCTCACACTTTGACCTCTGTGGGAGGTCAGAAATTTTGGTGGAAATTATCTAGAGAACACTTGGCACCTGTGGTCTTTTATGCGCCTTACCCGTGGAGGTGGAGAAGGTCTTTGCCCAGTTCCTCAGTAATTAAGTGGAGTTGAACCAGGGACCAACGAAGTAGCTTTTAGCTCTGAAATCTTGGGAGTTCCTTAGTACAGATCAAATGGTTCTGAACAATCTTATCTTTTTCAAGAATGATTTTTAAAGTTGTGTCATATATGGGCTAGGTTTTGTATTCAGCTGTTTTGCACCTTAAGTCAGAACATTACTGGAAAGTCCAGACCAAAGATTAGTAAGTAACACTTCTGGGCTTAGTTACTCTCAGGATTTCCATGAATTGTGGGGTGGAGATAACATTTGCAAATACAGTTAATAACAGCCCCTCTGGGATGGCAATGACAAGAGATACCATATATTTCTAAAGATCATTGGTTAGTGACTTGGGATAGTAACTTGGTTACTATCGTTGTTTAGTGACTTGGGATGGTAACTGAAGACAGGTTCACAGTAAGGTATACGGATCTCCTCTGTGTTCATTGCTGTGCTGGGAAAGTATATAAACTAAAGCTCCAGAGAGAAATTTTCATTCTAAAACTGTCTTACAGATGGTGAAGGATTATTTTGGGTTTTAGGATCCAGCATTTAAGGGTGGGGTGAGATAAGGATGGGGGAAAATTGAACAATTAAGGCCAGAGTGGAGGCTGGAGAGATGACAAACTAGGTACAGAACTCTTGGACCCCTTCTCTCCAATAGGAAATTAAAACAGTTGGACAAGTGAAAAAAGAGCATAACTGTGGTTGACCAAAGAGCAGATGAATTCAAAGTAGTTTTGAAAACATATTAATGTATTTAAACGTCTGCTTTCCAAAAAGATCTGGAGCTTTACGGTTACTTGAGTGACTAGCTACTCAGTTTATTTAGGGAGGGCGGAAGGAGGAGGAGGGACTATTATCAGGAAACAACAATCTCACCAGCATCCAAAGGCAGGAAAATATAGCTATGGTTTTTATGCTGGAAGGAGAATAGGAAATTTAAAAGAAATAGATTGCAGAATCCATGCCTACAAGTAATTGATTAAATGAGTGGGATGTAGCGAGTGCCGTATAAATTCAGAAAACAGCGATTAAATGGAATTACCATGTATGTGTTTATAGAGGTAAACTTGAAATAAAGCTCCTAAAATCTGGTGGGCTTAACCACTTTAAACTAGTCGTGGTTTTTGCTAATAGGCTCTGAGCTTGCATAACCTGCCTGTTTAACCCTTAGTCCTTTACAGTCACACTAGGTTTTGCTTTGTGAGAGAGAAACTTGCAGTGAATTGAACTTAACTGTTTCCTCGTTTGAGCTGGATTACTATTATGTCCTCCTTTGTTATCCCCGTTTTCAACTCTCCCATTGCCTGTTGTGTTCATGAGTCAGAGGGTCCACTTTGTTTTTGAGTGGCCTCATAATTCACTTAAGATTTTGACTTTAGCCACACGGGGCTTTGGTGAACTTGCAAATAAATCCACTCACAAATCCATCACCCTGCTGACAAATTAAACAATGCCGTTCTGTGGGTGGAAAGTTATTTGTATTTTAAAAAAAAAAAAAAAAGGGAGGAACACTTAACTACGTTCTTTCAGTCTTCCCCCTTCCCCATGCTGGGCCTTCCTTTGTGACATTCTAACCACCACATCCAGAAGAGAGTTTGGGGTTGAAGGAATGAAAAGGAAATAAAACTTCTTTGGCTCCCTCGCCCATCAGTTTTAACGATGGTTGTTAGAGAGGTGTGGGCTCTCTGAACTGGGTACTATGTGCCCTCGTGGGAGGCCTGTGTCTGGCCCTAAGACAGAGCCTGGACTCCTGAGGGTGGGAGGACATTCAGTCCTGAGCCATCTTGGTCCGCATTACCCAGCGGGGACCATGCTAAGCCACAGGAGGGAGCCCGTGAGGGCATCAAGCCAATTGAAACGGCCATCAGGCAGCTGGGGGTGGTGGGCAGGAAGCAATGCTGTCAGAAAACCTTTTATTATCTTAGTTGAGGAAATTCCTATTGGTGTATGCATTATGGGAAGACATCTTCTCTGATAGGGTTATTACTACATATACAGAAATTCCTTAGAACCCCAAATGACTCAATTCATGTAATTTCCATTTCTCATTGTACCCTCATTTATTTTGAGCAATTTCCAGCACACCCCCTTCTACCCTGAAATATATACCGAAGGCCTAAATTAGATCCTCCAAATTATGTGTTCGGTTCAGAGAACTAAATCACTGGGAGCCTTATCAGAAAGGTTTGACTTCAGGGGCTTTAGCCAGCATAACTTAATGACTGACCTCCAGTGTGTTTCTATGCAAAAATCAAAGCAGGTGAGTTTTTATGTATTTAATTTTCAGGATTCTGCTGGAAAAGGAGGATAGAGAGGGAAATCCAGTTGCGGAGTGTACATTATTGTTTGAGGGGAATTTGTGTTTTTATTTATTGGTTGCGATGACACAGCCTAGATCCTATATTTACAGGAATAGAAATACGCAGTAAAAAGAATATGTACGCTGTCACTACCTTTCAACAAAGCCACATTACTTACTTGTGGAATTTTTTAATAACTTGATGGAAATAGTTGGATTTTTTCCATTGAAAACGACAAAGCTCTTGTCTGTTATTCCTCATGTATATTTATGCATTTAAAAATACATCTCCAGGATAAGCAGGTTCATTGAAGAATGCGTGTGTTTTTTAAGAAAGGCTACATGGGAAACTCTATGGTTCAAGACCCAGAGCACTGTCTTGCCCGTGGGCCCCGGGCCTCGGCAGTGTTTCCTGAATGACCTCAGTGCTGTTTTTTTCCTTCCTTCTCTGGTGGTTGAGGACAGACAATGAATTCGGTCTCTGTGCCCGCCCGGGCTCAGCTGGGTAGTGACTATTATGCCATTGTGCTCGCTGGGGAGGGCTGCCGGTTTGGTGGCACTGCGGGTCCCAGCCTGCCCTGACATTGCCATCCTCTTTTCTTTCAGCTCCGCCATCCCATTAGGAGGGAAGCTGCTGTTCAGTGTCCATGAAGACGTGTGCCGCAAGAGTAGGAGACACTCCCAAAGAGGTGGCGAATGAAAGATAAAATTAAACACCTTCGAAAGGCATCTAAATCTGCTCTAACCATAAGCTTGCTTCTCTTTGAACTGGTGGCTGAAAGTGTTGCTTTAATGTCTAGAATTAGTTTCGTGTTGGCTTTTCAGAAACCCAGGCATTTTTTTTAGGTCCTAAAGTTCTCTGTGTGGAAAGAGTAGCCAGTTTGAAAAAGTTCACAGGACCCATTCTTAGAGGAGGTTCTCACTTTCCCTTAGGAGCTAATTAGCAGGAAGGGATTTGTATTCCTTCTTCCAGGGAAGAGACTCTAGGAGCTCTCTCCCGCTTCCCATCCTTGTTGGGTTGCTGTCCAGCCCATGGCAGCTAGTAGGGTCTCCGTCAGAAATCATGGCACTACATGTGCATTCTAAGCCCAGTTGATTGCAGGAGTTCGGTTTTTTTTAAATTAAGTCTTTAAATATCTATGTAGATCTTTAAGAAATGGTCCAATTTCCTTATTTAGTCATGGAGACAATTCTTTTGTCCCAGATATTAGGAACTGGTCACCAAGATTGCTGGTGGTCATCATCACTAGGCTTACTCCAAGCCTAATCATTTATGAGACGAGTGAGAAGCACAAAGTTCCTCCACGGTTTGCCAAGTGGAGAGTGAGCAACAATGAGAGCCCCCTGCGTACTGAAAGCAGAGTCAGTGCAGCTGAATAACGTATTCACACGAAATAGGGGCTGGCCAAGGATGGCCCACAGCTTGTTTTTGTTACTGCCTGGGAGCTAAGAATGGTGTTTACATCATCAAAAGGTTGTTTTTAAATTTATTTCTTTGTAAAGATTTTATTTATTTATTTGAGAGAAAGCACGAGCCAGGGAGCGACAGGCAGAGGGAGAGGGAGAAGCAGACTCCCCACTGCTTGGGGAGTCTGCTTGGGGGAACTCCCCACTCCCACTGAGCAGGGAGCCTGATGCGGGGCTCGATCCAAGGACCCTGAGATCATGATCTGATCCAAATGCAGTCACTTAACCGACTAAGCCACCCAGGCGCCCCGGATTGTTTTTAAATTTAAAGAAAATGAAGAATGTGTGACAGAGACTGTATGTAGCCCACAAGCCCAAAATATTTACTGTTTGACCCTTTACAGAAAAATTTTGCTGGCATAAAATACGAAGAGTAATGCTGGAAAGAGAAGCCAGTAATTATAAAGCTGCGTGCAAGCTGCTACTCCTTTAGACATATTTTTCTGGGGCTTCTCTCATTTGATTTCTGAGAGCTTACTTAATTTGTCATTCATCCTCGGGAATTACTTTTAATTGAATCTGTAGGATTTTAGGAATCTTCCGGTACTTAAAATGTAAAAGAATGTGATACATAGGTTTTGGAATTTGGGGAGGAAGAATAATAAAGCCAGGGGTGAATGAGCATATGCGACACACAGCTCCAGGACTCTTAACTTGCCGGAGAATGGCAGCAGATTTGATCGTAAGTGTCCCAGCGGCCAAAACAGGAAAGCACTATCAGAATAAAATCGATGTCAAAGATGCCCGTATTCCATCGTTAAGATAAATTCAGCTTTCCTTAATGGCCTGGGTCCTGAAAGAGTCCAGTGCCTTAGCTGACTAGTTGGTCTACTTCATAGGGCACTGGCGCACCAGGCTGAATCAGAGCTGGTTGTGCTCCAAACCCTGGAATCGGCTTTCTTCAGCCATTTCAGCCCACTGTCCTGGCTTCCTCTTGCAGAAGCGCTTAGGGCATTGCTTGGTGTGATCTCTGAGACAGTGTAACATGGCAGCCCTTCTAGCAAATTATTTGTCGAAATCAAAGGCATAAATAAGTAGCCTCTCCTCAAATTATCTCTCCATGGCCCCTTTTAATCACAGCCATTTATATTCGAGCAGCCTGGTGAACGTGATGAATTACGCTGGAGCCTCTTAAACAGTTACCTACTTGATCACGCATGCCTACACTTCTAGCTCTGCAAAGTGGAACCTCTCATAAGCCATCTTGTACATTTTCACAATACTGGTACTATTACTTTTAAAGCCAGGCTGGATTTTCCCAGTTATAAATAAAAACAGGATTTCCGAAGGTCTGCAGTAGTGTTCAGTTACAATAATGTTTATGGCATATTTGAGGCTGAATCCAGACTTCCCAGTTCAGGATATTTAATATTTACATTGATCTGGTTCTAAGTACGTTTTATGAGGCATCAAAGTCTGGATTCAAAACTCTTAATTTCCAGAACACATGCAGATGCCTCCTAGACTTTTCAAATTCAATTCTTATGCTACTTGTTAATCTCTAAAACAAATTTGATTAAGACACACATGGTGTTCACTTTAATGGCATTATGTGCTGCAGGCTCTCAGAAAAATATTCAGATTTTGGTGATACAAATACGAAACCGGGCTGGAATGAATTAGCCACTTACAGGCTGCACCTTACAGTTTGGCACTCAAGTATGTACTGATTTCTACTGTAATTTCATTTGTGTTAGTGTTACTTCTCTGGGTGGTTAACCCCTTAATTGTATTGACTTTTATATTTCTTCAGTAGCTTGTAAAGCACATAGGCAGTTAGCCAGGTTTTCAGATAATTGCTCACGTTTTAAACCTTTAAATTACAGTTTTAAAGTAATGTGAACTTAATTTACACTTATATTTTCACTGTGTTGGTTGGCTTTTTTCCAGTTTATTCACTGCATGTGTGTGTATTCCTGAATTTAGAACAGGGAACAGGAAGTGTGGGCTGTGTTTAAGATAAATTTACAGAAGATCGGGTCAAACCTCTTAGAAATAGTCTATTGGAAAGCCTATTATATTTTAAAGAAAGTGAATGGTTCTCTTCAGGCTAAATCTTAAAAGATGTGGTCAGTTTAACATCTGAGTTTTCCACATTAACCATAGCAAAACATCTGATAGAGATTACAAAATAAGTCAAGTTTATTTCTTAAGGCTTAGAGATTTTTAAATTCTGCCCTCTAATTAAGTGAAGGAGGAAAAACAGGCCTCCTTCGGTATCTGATTCCCCAGAGTTTCAAAACCCAAGTAGCTGTTTGCTCAGTATCACATTGTGTTAGTGGTTTCATCTCACAGATGCTTCATTTCTCGCGCATTTTAGGATATTACTTTTGGTTTTTTGTGTTTTTTTTAGTTTTAATTTAATTTTTTTTTTTTTTTTTTTTAAGTAATCTCTACACCCAGTGTGGAGTTTGAACCCATGACCCTGAGATCAAGAGTTGCATGCTCTACTGACTGAGCCAGCCAGATGCCTCAGGATATTTTGTTTAACTTTTTTTTTTTTTTAAGTATATTCTGATGTATGCTGGCATTTTAGTAGCTCTGAAGTCCTGAACAGGAAGGAGAAAAAATCGTTTTAAATAGTTCATAGAAGGTACAGCTGCAGATGAAACTTTACCTTTAGGTATCTTCTGCCATATCAATACATCACAAGCAGGTAGGTAGGGGAGAAAGGGGTAAATCCTGGCCGAGCAAGGCTCTTGAGCAAAGGTGTTCTATGCAGGCACTTGGTGGAGAGTCTCCATGAAAGTGTCTCCTGCAAAGACGCAGAGTGGTTAGGCAGGGAGAGTGTGGTGTCACACACTGGCTGAGAGATGCTTACTACAATCCAAACCAAAACAAGGCTCATCTGGGGGCTTAAAGCCCAGAGCACAACCCAGGCTGGAGAGAAATCTCATTTGGAGAGGTTTCTCCAAGTCCCAGATCTGAGGCAAGACCCAACAATGATTTCCAGTGAGTCGGCAAGATGTATTCTGTTCAAGCCGTGGGGACATCTAGGGTTAATTTAAATAGGCATCAGCATGAGTTAAGGATTATTAAATTAAGTAATAGTTGTATGTTTTTAGTTCATGTTCTATATTAATATTTTTTATACAGGTACTAGCTACTAACTGTGGTTCTTTCCAGTCTACTTTCAATAGGTAAACAAATATTTGAAAAATGCAGTGTCCTTTGAGCCACTTAATCATACCTAAGGGGATCCCTCCCCAGGTGCCAGGGCCCTATAGTGTATGTTGCGGGAAGATCAGGCATGGTACTCGGAAGAGGCAACCTCTGAGGAGCTGCTCTGTAAACCGTGAAGTAGCCACAAATACCACCCACGTGTACTGACCAGATGTTTGAACTGTGGTTGTTCTTTCCTAGTTTCAGTGCCCGTTTGGACATCCACAATCAGAGATGGCAGCAGAGGTAAGATTTTCTTTTTTAACTCGTGAGAAAAGGGTAAATTTTAGCCTTTAGAGTCTTGGTATTCTCATTCCATGATGGAGAAGACCAAAGAAACAAATACATCCAAAAGCTAAAAGTAAAAGCACCATTGGGTAGGTTGCTAGACAGCTTTTGTCCAGGCACTGAGGAGTGGGCCAGACCAGCAGATGTTAAGGGGGTAGCGAGGGAGGGACCAGAAAACATTAGTCCATGTGGTTCTTGGAACTAGTCCTTTACTTACAGTGGGTAGAGAGGGCCAAGATGGTTGACGTCAGTATCTCTCCCTACATCTTATCTAAAAATGATAATGATTAGCCTCTGTCCCCACTTTACTGTGGCCATAACCTTAAACTAAGTCCTGTGCGTACCTCATGCACATGTACTTGGTGTCCGTTGTGGGCATGGACCTGTCCTGTGTCCTCTTTGGCCCAGTAGTAGCGTCCTGATGTAGTCGGTATTCAGAAGATACTCAGTAGATACCTGTTGTTTAGTCAAATATTTGAGGGTTCTCTTGAGGAAGAACTGTGTGGTATCTAGCCTCCACCTCCCTTTATTCTGTAGGTGGCATCCTGGAAAGCTACAGAGCCTTGGTCTTTTCATCCAGTATATGCAAGATACTGGCGACATTATCATCAGGCGATGGCCTGGATGCGAAGCCACCACAGTGCCTACAGGAAGGCCGTGGAATCGTATTTCAGTTGCCCGTGGTCCTTCCCTCCTGCAGCTCTTCCCCAAAGCTCTTACACTAACAAGGCCAAATCTCCTCGGCCCTCTCGTGACCATCTCCCGGCTTCCACGGACGCGCACTGCGGTTCTGCACATTCCAGAAGGTCTGGGCAGCATCCACCAGCCCGCCCGAGAGAACGGCGAGCTTGGCCCGCCCCGGAGGAGGCGGAGTCCGAGTCAGATGGGGGCGTGGAGTGCGACCTGAGCAACATGGAGATCACGGAGGAGCTGCGCCAGTACTTCGCCGAGACCGAGAGGCACAGGGAAGAGCGCCGTAAGTGTGCCCCCGGCCCTGCGCGCTTCGTTTGCTTGCCCTGCCTTGTGCATTGTCGTCTTCCCTCAAGTTGCTTTATAACTTCCTCACATTCCACGTCCGGTCCCACCTCAGCTCTGTCAGTTTCCGGAGGCATTTTAATACAGGACTTTTTTTTAGCTTTAGAACAAAGCTTGTGCCAGTGGTACCTCTGCCATCTACTGAGTATCAGACAGCAGATGGGGGGGTGGGGGGAGTGGGCACAGGGGTGTGCCTGTGTTCGCTAATCTATACCCCAGCCCCTCAAGGGCATTCCACCCATTTCACAAATGAGGCAGGCGACCCTTCAGAAGGTTGATTGACTTAATTCCATGGTACACAACTAGTAATTAGCTGGTGGGATTCAAATCAAGGTCTGTCTGACTCCCAATTCCTGTGCTGCTTCCTCTAGCACAAACTTAGGGATTAGGTTTTGTCCCGGAGACTGCTAGGTTTTTAACATACTGCTGTCACCTCACTGGTACATGGCTCTGAGACTTCCCTGGTGCTAGTGAGCTACCAGGTCTTAATTATTAAGCACCATTCAGAGTAGAGGTCAGCATGAACCTAAACAGTCAGAAAATGTCTAGGACTCGAACCTTTCTGGTTTGATGCCATGTCGAAGCAGTCTGCTCTTAGGGTTAGAGAAGCAAAGCAGGAATTTCCTTTTTTTGATTTCTTACCAAGTTGCTACAAAGAACTAGAACTGCTTGTTGTGCTCTCCTTACTATGAAAATTCACCAGACTGTTTACATTTGAAGTGTCTCAAATAGATACACAAATGCTTTTCTCTTTGTAATCCGTATGTAGTCTCAATATTGTTTTTATTGAGTTCTAATTATATGATATTTTACTTAGGATTTTTTTAATAAATAGAAACAAACAAGATAAAAAGAAACATAGAAGTCTGGGGATGGGCAACTTTTGGTTCCATCTTTGATTGATCTGTGTTTTTCTGATGATGGGCTTATCGATCCCCACGGGGTACCAGGAACTGAGCGGTGGGCTTTGTATGAAGTATCATGCCCTTTAGTGTCTTAAAAGTTTACAACGATGAAGGAGAGGAGGTGTTCAAGCATGTCCACATTTGGTTGGAATGCCATTTTTTACAGCTTTTGAAAAAATATGATGGATGTGGGGTTTCTTTCTTTTGTCCTTACCATAGGGTAGAATAACGTGTTTTTCCCACCAGAGAGTGATAACTTTTATGAGAGCAGCTCTAATTAGGGATGGAAGCAAACCCCAGCCATCCAAAAGGCCATTTTGAATTATCTGCTAATGTAAAATAACTTGATATATAGTTACTCAAAAAGTAGATGTGATGATAATGAAAATAAAGTAACAAAATGTGTCTTTCCAACGTCAGCAGTTCAGTTACAGATATGGCTAAGAACCATCCCTGTTCCTCCTCTTGCCTTGGTCAGGTAGAAATCTAGGTAAGTTTAAAAAAAATAAAATCATAAAAATTGCCTGCTAAGTCATGCCTGGCACTTAATACTGTTTTGAATGAGTGAATGATTTCAGTGTTAATTATGAGCCTTAAATCAGAGGTTTTCAAGTATCCCAGAAAGTGCTAAATTTGCTTGTGTGGGGCATTTTACAAAGTGAGTTAGGTTTTGAATGCTTTATAAACTTGATGAACTTCATATTTCGTTTTATATTATTCTCAAATCTGCTGAGTTGACTTCAGGGCTCCAGATTGCACTGTTATCATCACTGTTGTGGGTTGAATTTTCTTCCCTAAAAAAAAAGATTTGTTGGAGTCCTAACCTTCCCCACCTCCAACCTCAGGATGTGACCTTATATGGACATAGAGTCTTTACAGAGGTAATCGAGTTAAAATGAGGTCCTTAGGGTGGGCCCTGATCCAGTATGACTAGTGTCCTTATAGAAGGAAACATTTGCACACAAAGGTAGACATGCACCCAAGGAGAAGGCCATGTGAAGACTGGAGTTCTGCTCCTGGAAACTAGGAGAGAGGCCTGGACCTGATCTTCCCTAGGGCTTTGAGAGGGGGCACGGCCCTGCCCACACCTTGGTCTCAGACTTCTGGCCTCCAGACCTGTTAAGACGAGAAATTTCTGTTAGGCTAAGCCACCCAGTTTGTGGTGCTTTGTTACAGCAGCCCTAGGAAACTAATACAATCCCCCTGTGAGAATTTTCTTTGTCCCAAATGCAGTCTGTGAGTGGGACATGAAGTGAACTCCACAGGTCTTGCCATCCCTTTGAAGAAACTGGTGCATACTTGTTTTACCATGATCTAGACAGCAAACCAAGAAAAAAGGGAATTTTGTGAAAACCCATACAGCCTTCCTCTTTAACCTCATTCTTCAATATATACATCATTATTTGTAACATTATACCAAGCAAGCTGTGGCAGAACCGCTCCTGTTACAGAGTCCCGCCCGCCTCCACCACTTACCAGCCAGAGGTTCTTAGCTTGTGGGTCACCTACCCTAATCAGTCTGTGCCTCAGTCGCCTCACCTGGGAAAGGGGGTCTGAATTAATGGAGTGGTAATTATGAAGATTCGATGAGATAATAAAAGATAAGTTAGAGAACCATGCTTGGTACGAAGTCAGTGCCCAAGAAATGTTAGTTGTTATGGTGAGTTGCTAATTATTCATCCTTTAGTGTGGATTATTAACCATATGCTGATTTTACTCAGATGCTGTCAGTGTTAATTAGTGCTTGATTGAGATTCTGCATTATTTTTAATAAAGATGTTATGTGGCTTCAAAAAAAAAAAGTCATTTCTGCTCTGCACTTTTCAAATTCTTAAATTAACTTAGAATATTTAAAAAGCAAAAGAGTTAAAGTTTTGGTGTCGATCCAATTTAGTCGTTAACACAGTTTCATCAAAGTAGTCATTAACACAACTTTTAATCCATTTCAAGGACATTCTTGCCTGAGATGACAATATAGTAAAATACATGGAAAAATGAACCCACTTCCATATTCCTAATAACAGCACTAAACACATTGAGCTTCTGCTTCTTTGTGCTTTGTAAATGTATAATTGTAGCATAGTTGAAAACTGCTTGTCACAGGGTCTCCGCGATGCTTTTGTGTCCTGCGGTCTGCCCTGAAAATATTGTCAGGTCTTTGGGAGATGTGGACATTGTCTGGCAAGGGCGAGAACATGCTGTGGTGTCGGAGTCTAATCTGACTGCTAAAGATTTAGAAGCTGCTGGGGCCTGACACTGTACCACCAAAAACAATTATTTTTTTCACCGGCACTTTTGGTGGTGGCCTATAGGGTGAATACTGCTCCGTACTGTTCCTTCGAGCAGTACTGAGGGATGGAACTCAGATGTAAGCAGTGGGAATGCCCATTGTGCTTTCCAACCCATTACCTTGACTAGTAATGTTCGTAATGTTCATGGAAGTTTAGCTACATACACAGTTGGGATATATTTTAGTAGTGATTAGGGACCTAAGTAATGTGAATACTTGGTTAAAGTTGTTTTGTTTTGCTCTTTGAACCACTAGAAGCTACTTATTCAATAAAGGCAAATTCAGCTTTGAGTATGGATCATCTAGAGAACACAGAATTTTATGAAATATCACTTAGCAGGGAAAAATATAGCTAAACTTGATTTTATTTTTTGGTATTATTCACTTCCACGGGAGTATATATGTTACATAATTCATCATCATCTGAGTGTTATTTAATATTTTCTTAGAATAAAATCCTTCATACTGGACAGCATGTTCTTGTTTGTGATTACTGCTCTTCCAGATAATCTCTAACATATTTTAATGATAACAAAAAAATTAAATAGGATAAATAACTCCCGTGTGGTGGGAACAGACATGCTTTTGATTATGTTATATGTCATTTCCTAATGAGATAGTTCCATTATTCAAAACTTCACTGGTAACATTACTTACGGGAAAGTAGACAGTTGTGGAGTTTTAAAGGTCAGCTGTGTTTTCAGTTATTTCTTAGGAAAAATGTTTATTGTTAGGTTAAGAAAAGTATCATGTTTTAGTCATAAATAACAATCAATTGAGACTGCAAGGTTGTAGTCCTAGTACTTAGAAGGGAAATGAGTGAAAGTTATCATTCCCAGTGGAGAAGAAGACCCTCCGAAATGAACGCCACCACTGTTGTCTCAGGCTTGAGCCAATCAGATTTTATCCCCTGTGTTTTGGGGGTAACTGTTGGATCAAAAGAGAGACATATTCACAAAGAGCTTAAACCCAGTCGGGAAGAGGAAACAAAATCAAATTAAAACTGATACCTAGAAGAGCCATCTATGGCCTGGTCCATGGGTACTTTTGCAGTGATGAGTAGAGCCAGTGAACTCAGCCATCAGAGAAGTTTCACGGGGTAATGGTGGAAAATGGAGTGTGCTCTAGGCTTTGAGGGCGGGGGTTAATTGGGATCAAGAGAGAAAGAAAGGGGATAAGTCCACTCCCCACTTAGCACTCAAAGTGCTTACCACAGGGCCCGGATGTGCTTTTAGACATTTGATGGGAGACATCTGCTCCATCATGTTGTATCCACCGAAGCTGGAAGGTTTAGACCAGTTTTCATGACCGAACCTTCAGTCAGTCAGCTGCAACCCCATCCAGTTCGCCCTCAGTCCACCCTCTGTGGAAAACCTGGAGGATATAGTGCAACGCATGGCTCAGTATTGAGTGAGCCGCTGTGGTTTAGTGGGTGGGATTAAAGCGTGGCATCCTGTGACTGAGCACAGTTCCACCGTGTGTGTGTGTCTCGTTTAGTTCAGATGCTCGAAGTCCGGAAGACCAGTCGGTGGAAAGATGCATATAAAAGGCTGTGGAAAAGCGGAAGGGCAGGATGGAAATGCGCTTTTATTCTAAAAGTAAAAACAGTAATTATCCACTGACTTCATTTGTCAGGGAGAGAGGGATGGGAGGTGAGGATGAAGGCCCAGCAGAAATGGCTCCAGGCCGGCTGGCGAGCACCTGTGTTCCGGGTGTGTTGCTGACAAGCCAGAAATGAGTCACTCGTGATATAAATCCAGACTCTGCTTGTGCTCGGTTGTGCTAAAATCATTAATTCTGGCAACATAGCAGAGAATACAATCAGAAAGACATGCTAATCCTAGAAAAATGAGGAAAAATAATGTTCTTCAGCACTCATTTGTCTTAGTGCTTTGTCTTCCAAAATGTTCTGCCTTTGGGCTAATTATCTGTGGAATACTGAATGAATGTTTTCCTGCTATGTCAGGTCTTCTAAAATCCAAGTCACTCCTCATGATTTTGTTTTCCTTTGGAGAGCGTAAGTCCACACTGGTAGTAGCATCATGTAAATTTATAGATTGCGGGGGAAAATATCAAGGTTATATGTCCTGAACCCAGATGGGATCCAGTAGCGTTTCTCCTTCATAGGATGTTACTGTTTTCTTGTTTTAGCCCTATATGCATATTAACCTTTATCTTAGTTTCCTAGGGCTGCTGTAGCAAATGACCATAAATTGGTGGCTCAAAACAACAGAAATTTATTCTCCCAGTTCTGGAAGCCAGAAGTCTGAAATCAAGGTGTTAGCAGGACCCACTCCCTCCAAAGGTTCTGGGGCTTTGCCTCTTCCAGCCTCTGGTGGCTCCTGGCGGTTCACTGGCTTGTGGGGACATAGTTCTAATTCTGCCTCCTTGTTTTCACGGTTTCCCCCCTGTGTCTCTATGTGTCCTTTTCTATCTCTCATAAGAACACGCTCATTGGGTTTGGGGTCCACACTAATCCAGTATGATCCCATCTTGATCCTTAATTACATCTGCAAAGACCCTGTTTCTAAAAAAGGTCTATTCTGAGGTTGCGTGTAGATGTGAATTGGCGGGGGGCGGCACACTATTCAGCCCACTCCAGCCCTGTATTACATCTGGAATCTAAAAATATATTCTGATTTGTATTAAAACAAGTTTCCATGACTGAACAGCCTATAAGAAAAAAAGCCCTGGGTAACATTGAGTCCCACAGCTGTTTCCAGTAAAAAATGATCAACTTCTCCATGACGTGGCACCTGTTCTGTCTGAAGTGTGATGTTCTACTTCTCTGCTTCAGTCAGATGATTCTCCATCTGGTTGAGCCCTCACCTTGTTTTGACAGGAAGAAAAACTGCTAGTGATTGAGAATCCTTTCCTTCATTGGGAGGAAGGAAGCAATAAATAGAAAACAGTAAGTGATGCCTTCAAACGAGTATATTCTGTTCTAAGGTTTGCTTGGTCCCCTAAGTCAGTATAAGCTAAAGTACTTTCAGATGCTAGCTGTAGCTTCCAATGTCCAGCCAGTCTAAGGGCATTTGGTTTTAAGCTGACTGCTTTTCAAATTTGTAGTCTAGCCTTTGGTCTTTTTTTTTTTTTTTAAGTGTTTAGGTAAGTAGAGGCACAGTGACTCAGATGTAAAGGAACAAGATCAGACCCCATCTCATTGGTGCCCCCATCTCCCGCAGCCTCTGTGCTATGGAGGCTCTGAGTAACCCATGGGAGGGGAGCTCTGCCCAGTACCTTTTGAGACTTGAACATCTGTTTCTCTGTCCCTGAGTTGTCATCATTTTTCTTTAACAGCGTCTGGAAGAAACAGCTGTTTACAAAAAATAAGGTATGGCCTCTGTCCAGGCTTTCTGTCAACAGTCCTTTCCTGAGCACCTGCTTAGCGCCAGGCATTGTGTCCTCCCGGGGCTGGGGACGGTGGGGGGTGGTGAAGGCAACCGTGCCCTTTCCCCACGCATGACTTCCACAGGCAGGTTTTAGCACTAGCCGGTCAGTGCAGGGGACAGGCTTCCCACCCCTTAGGTCCGTGTTTTAGGGCAACTACCCACCATGCTGGAAACCAGGAAAGCTCCAAGCCTCTTGAGAGGCAGGGAGAGGACAAGGGTTGAGTCTTAAATTTTCATAAGGAAACCTGAACAGGAAGGAGAGACAAGACGATTGAGAGCAGAGGCCTGTGCCTTTTATTCTGTTATTCTTACACAAAATGAGCTTCATTAGCTGAAGCCCTGTGACGGTAACCCATGAGCATATGCCAAGTGTGAACTTGGAAAGTTGCACTGGCTGTGTTGACCAGCGGCTACAGTTGGCTCGTATGAACAGTGTTTCGTTGACAGCTGTCAACCGTAAGAGAAAACATCTCAATGTAGGATTGTTATACTGATTTCCTACCTGTTAAGATAGTTTTGGTCAGAAGAGTAGCAGAACCATGTTAAATTATCAGGAAAAGAAAGACAAAGATGCAAAAGTAAGAAGGTTAAATTCACATATCCCAGCGGTAGAGAGCAACACCTGCTAAGATAGCACGGATCCGGTGTTTATTAAAACTTGTAAACGCAAGGACTCCAGTTTAGACAGGAAGTTGAACATCCGCTGTGTCACTGGATCTGTCGGTGGGGCTGATTATCGTCTTGGGACAAATGTGAGAGTAAAAAGGACTGCAGTCTGGGAACCTCTGTCGTCTGGATGCACAGGCTCTGCCCACCCACCCACCCCCACGGGATGGTTTCCTCCGGGCCTATGACGAAACGAGCCCAAGGACTGGTAACTGCCCAAGGCTCCCATAGGAGGCAGAGGGAACTGCTGTCCCTGGCTAATGTGGAAAGGCCACACTTTCAGAGGAGTGGTCTTTGGAGGGTGGGGGTACACAATCTAAACACCTGCGAGAACTGAACAACTTACATCCTGACGTTTCGGACTTGGCAAAAAGACCAAAACCGAGAAACAAATGCTTATTGACCTCCCGTTCATTTGCACATCATGCCAGTATTTTGGTTCAGTTCTGCATTTCACAGGAAGTCAGCTACGTCTCCCTTCTGTGGATAAGGGAACAGTTACATTGCACTTACTTGCTTGACAGTCATTTGGCCTATCTGCAGGTGACCTCCTGGTGTAAGAAAGAAGCTGCAGATGGGCTGACTCAGAGATGGCCATCCACATTTATCGTGTTCCCAAGTGTCCAAAACTCCTTCCTTCCGTCTCCAAGGGGATATGTGTGAAGAACGAACTTAGGAGCGTGACCGCCTAGCCACAGACATATCTTGCTGCTCGCTTTTGGGTTCCCTTCTACACTAAGCTATTATTCTGCTACTTTAAAAAACAAACAAACAAGGAAAGAATGATGTATGTCATTGTTTCATCCCCTGTAACCACCTTCGCTCCTTATTCAGCAGCATTGCTCTCAGTCGCAGTAGCAGCTACAGAGGTGCGCATTCTGTTTCTCTGTTCCCGACAGCGTCACTTACAAAAATCTGTCAGTTGGCTAAATTTTACCTTCTGCAGTGTTCTTTTATTGATAATGTTATTTCTATATGCATAAAAGTAGGACTTGTTTTAGTAAAAACTATACAGGGGAGAATATACTAAATTTCTTGCTTTACAAGAATCCATTTAAATTAGTAGGTTTAAAATCCGGTAACTATCACTTGAAATTTAGCCGAAGCTAAGCTGTGAAGGGGAAAGATAAATCCCATCGTGAGGAAATCGGCGCACTTGCAGTTCTGTTAATACAGCAGAAAGCTTAGAAGTCAGGTCTTCCGTTGGCAGAATTGCCCTGGCTCGGCCCTGTTTCCTTGGGCAGGTGTTGAATTACGTGACTCCATTTCCTGGCGTGCTCTGTGCTTTGGCCGTGTGGAAGGATTGGGGATCAGGGCTGCAATTATGTAGACACTGGCACTTGCTCTTTTCCAGGTGACTATAAAATCGGCACCTCTAACACGGGGCCGACTCCCCCCGCCCCCCCCCCAGCACCTCATTTGTGGGCTTCCGGAAGTACTAGTTCTTGCAGCCCTGGACTTTGCAGGAAGCATTTCGTTTCCCTGCTGGCCTGGTACAATGTGAAACCAGGCGGCCCTTCCAGCTGGGCGGCTTGTGGGCAGGCCGCATAGATGAAAGGGACAGAGCTGTATTCGAGGCTCAGTGCGGAGGTTTGATGGTGCTGGGTGACATGTTTCCTGGCGGCTTTTCGCCGTGTCTAGCGGGGCAGCCTTAGCCTCCCGGATAAGCGATTGGTGCATTTCCTAGGCATGCGGGTACTGGTGTGCGGCTGATGCCTTAGAACCTAGTGAGTGTTTCGGTGGGCGCAGCCGGGCCCAACAGCTAGCAGCCGCACCCCGGGCTCACCCCCGCCCCCCATGTCGGTTCGTTCTCAGGGCGGCAGCAGCAGCTGGACGCCCAGCGCCTGGATGACTACGTGAACGCCGACCACGACCTGTACTACAGCACCCGCCGCTCGGTGGAGCCCCCGTCCGAGAGGCCTGGTGAGCGGCGCAAGGCCGAGATGAAGCGCTTGTATGGGGACAGTGCCGCGAAGATCCAGGCCATGGAGGCCGCCGTGCAGCTGAGCTTCGACAAGCACTGTGACAGGAAGCGGCCCAAGTACTGGCCGGTCATTCCGCTCAAGTTCTGAGCCCGCGGTGCAGGGTACCCAGCCATCACCCCCTTCCTCCTGGATTCACTCAATCTCTCCTTCTGTGCATTTTCTCAGGGAAATTTCTCTTATACTGAGAAATAAGCATGTCACCAAAGTCCCAGGGGGCCCATCTCAGGGCTGGATGTAATACGTTGGCCACTTGAAGTCAGCAAGACATGTACTGTTGCCAACATGAAAGATTTTCTTTTGACCTAAAATGATAATTTCATATATATTATGCTTGGTTTTGATGTCACTAAGAATGTTCAGTTCATTAAAGTCCTCACTTAGAGAAACTGCCTCGTTTTTTTGCCTTTTTCTATTTTCTTCTGTCCTGTCCTTAACCCAACTGAACTTAAACGCACATGCCTTAAATGAGTCACATGTCCTCTCCTGCTCGAACTCCTTTAGCCCTCACTGAAAATGACCCAGTGGGACAAACACCACTTCTCTCCGATGTAGAGGTCAGTGTGCATGTCCTGTAAAGGAGCAGAGATAAAGCCAATATTTTTGGCTTTGCAGGCCACACAGTCTTTGTTGCAACTACTCTCTTCTGCCCTTGCAGCGTGAAAGCAGCTGTAGATGGTGAGTAAACAAATGGGTGTGGGTGTGTTCCAACAAAACTTTATTTATGAAAACAGTGGCCCAAGGCCAGTGCCTTGGGCCAGATTTGGCCTAAGGGCAGTAGTTTGCGAACCCGCTGCTCTAATGGAATGAGAATAAACGTCTTGACATTTTTCTTGTTACCTCATCTCTACAGAGCTTGAATGTCACACAGAATTGAGAGTGAAAAACAGTAATTCCCAAACCTGCTCACCTCTGCAGTATCCTCTGTTGTAGAAAAGGTATAATTGAGCTCTTACTATGTATAGCGAATGTTGCTTTGAGAAGGGAATACATTTCTGAGGATGAAAATCTAAAAATTGACGGAACAGTCCATTTATAAAAGCCAGCTGCCTTTTAAATAAGTTATCACAGTATGTTGCCAGGGTGAGCCCATGTTGACCTGAGAAGATTAGCACATCCATCAAAGGTTGGTGAAAAGATTGAGTATTGACATGTTTCTCCCGAAGAACACTTAGCTCCACATTTCAGCCCCTGCCCTGAGACAAATGCATTACTTTCACCAGCCCCAGGTGCTTATTTTTCCAAGCTCTCATTGTATTCCTGGAGTTGGGATTTGTGCTTGGGTATTGCCGACAAAAATCAGAATTAACTTCCCTTGAGGTGACACATGACTAAAATTTCAAATCCTTGGTAGCTCTTGTTTTTTTCTGTGCAACTCCTACACCGAAATAGAAAATAAGTATGGCTCAGGCACAAATACAAACCAGAGCCTGCAATTGCAGCAGCTTCTTAGCTATTTGAGAGTGAAACATTCTCTTGACAAAGGACTCTCATACCTTCCCCCAGAGAAACCAGCGCGCGGGCCCGGGCCTGCTGGCTTTGTTAGCGCAGGTGCGGGCCAGCTACTTCGCGCTCCTCATGCAGGTGGGGGTTCGTGACGCCCCCACGTGGGGTCCTTGTGAAGACCGCACTGGAATTAGTGCCTGTGAATCACACAGTGCTGGCCACATGGTGAAGACTCAGGAAACGTTGACATGTAGTCCCTGCCTTTAAAAATGGCCAGAGTGCCAGTGGAAGTCCTGGGTATATATGAAACTTCTTCCAGATACGGAGAGGTGTTTCCCCTGGCAGCTCTTCAAACGGATGCTTTGGCTTTTCGGCATCTGGGAGGGACCCGTGATTTGATGGTGGATTTATTCAGCAAATTTTTGAGTCCTTTGTGTTGCAGTTAGCTAAGCCTTAGTCTCTTCCCTCAGGGGAACTTGTCTTCTAGGAGGAGAGGCATATGGGTGTGCAGTGCTGGTAATCCCGGTCTGTGCTCCGCTGGGGGCATGTGCAGGGGCTTCGGGAGCGGGGAAGCAAGGCGGGACAGGGCAGGGCTTCTCAGCCTCCGCACTGCTGCCATTCGGGGCTGGATCATTCTTTGTTCTAAACAAGAATACATGCTATGGATGCATATGTATGTATGAAAATCAAGAGGCTTGCATGGACAAGGTTCACACCAGTTTCAGAATCGTGGTTACTTCTCAGCATTGGCATGAGGATTGGCGGGCCATTCAAAAGGGGTTTTCTTGTCTCTCTGGTATTTCATCTCTTTCTAACAGAAAAGCTATGATAGGAACCCCACTTTTATGGAGGCCCCCAAATTCATCAGACTCTATTCTGATATAAAGTAGTTTATCTTTCACTGCATTCGTAGGGTTAACTGTTCCCTGAAATGTTAAACGCTTCTGTAGGGCTTACTGTGGGCACACACTTTTCTAATTGCTTTAAGAATACTAATTTCTTTAGCAATCAGCCTGTGTGACAAACCTGTAAAGGAGCTGTTTCAGCTATACACCCTGTTTCCCAAAACCCTGAGGTCAAGTGTGTTGCAGAATACAGACATTGTTGTACTTTTGAAAAGTACAACAGCATATTCTAGAACTTGTCCCAATGGGCTGGGCCAGCAGCCTGTCATCAAAGACAGTTGTGCAGTAAAATGGAAGGATATTCTAACTGGGATAAGTAAAAACCATAAATAGCCTCCGTTTCTTTCAGGTCAGGTTTTGTCATCAAATCCTTACCGTCAAGTCAGGTCTGGCTGCCAAACAAATTATTCAAAACACACACACACATACCTTCCAGGTTCCCAGAGCTTTGGGGATTTCAGAGAAGTGCTGAAGGAATGTGATCCCTGTTCTGCAGATGAGGAAACAGTGCAGACAAATTAACCAACTTAACAGAGTGCCCTTTCAGTGGTGGAAGTGGATGTGGAACCCAGATAGAATCTGACTCCTGAACTCCTCACTTTGGGCTGCTTCACGCCGCTGAAGTCAACTTCTACAACCATATTCACAATATGTGTAAAGCACAATATATCCAAAGCATAGCAAAGAATCTGGAGCCAATTACAGCCCTCAGCAAGATTCCAGTGTATCCTGTGCTGGAGCATGGAGCTAGGTACTAGTCCTAGCTCTGCTTGAGAGTGTGCGACCTTGGGCAGTGCGCTTGTACTCTTTGAATTGTAGAACTGAGGCTAGAGCAGCCCGAAGAAAAGGGGACACACTTGAGATATTGAGGATCTAAGTGTTCTGTGGCTCGGCGATTTGGACAGGTGAGGAAAAGGCTGGGATGGCTCGGGTTTCTGTCTTGGGTGGTGGTTCTAGTCATTGAGGTAAAGAAAATGAGGAACAGGTTTGGGACAAATTCCATATGGGACAGGGTTTGAAGAGCTCACGACATCCGGGGACATCCTGCCAGTCACTGGGTACTGGGCTTTGGAATTCAGTGGAGAGGGTCTGCATCACAAATACAGACTTTTGAGTCTGCAGCCTTAGGAATATGGAAAAAGGGACCACACAGAGACCATCTGTGTAGGGCCAGTGACAGTGGGGCCCTGAAGAACAATGACTTGAAAACCTAAGAGTCTGTGAAGGGAACTGAGAAGAAACGGCAGAGATAAAGAGGACAGCCGGGTGTCTCAGGGGAAGCTTGTAAGCAGGACAACCAGACAGTAGGGCTTTTACTGTGACGCACTGGGGAGCGGACTTCACCGCCCATCAAGTATTTTTTGCAAAGGTACAGATAGATGCAAAGAGATGTCGGGTATATCGCAGATGCACACATGTACACATGCAGAATCTAAGACTCTAAGTACCAATTTACAGGAAGTTCAAAGAGCAGACTAACAAGTTAAAAGACACCATGAAGATACAATCATACAAATCCAGAATGTAGGAAGTTTGATAGGACAAAAAAACCTAGTTTCTTCAACAACTGGGTTCTTAAAAAGTCTGTTGCAGAAGGGGTAGTGGCAAGAGGGGGAGACTGTTACAAGATGTAACGTGTGCACTTTGTAGGGGTACTGATTTGAACAAATGAATGATTGAAATTTGGGGGAAATTTGAATATGGACTGTTAGAGGATATTAAAGAACTATTACTTTTGTTAGGTGTAATAGATTTTTGGTGGTTATGGTTTCTTTTGTTTGTTTGTTTAAAAGTTCTTACTTGTTAAAGACACTACTCTTTACAGCTGAATTCATAGAATGGGATTCTGGGATTTCCTTTTTTCTTTCTTTAAGATTTTATTTATTTATTTGAAAGAGAGTGAGAGAGAGAGAGAGAGCAGGAGCAGGGGAAGGGAGAGAAGCAGACTCCCCTGCTGAGCAAGGAGCCCGATGCAGGACTCGATCCCAAGACCCTGCGATCATGACCTGAGCTGAAGGCAATCACTTAACTGACTGAGCCACTCAGGCACCCCCTTTTTTTTTTTTTTTTATTCATTTAATCTCCACACCCAGCATGGGGCTTGAACACATGACCCCAAGATCAAGAGTCACACACTCCTCCAACTAAGCCAGCCAGGTACCCCCGCCTAGGATTTCCTTTAAAGTATTCTAGTGGCAGGGCGCCTGGGTGGCTCAGTCGGTTGAGCGTCCAACTCTTGATTTCGGCTCAGGTCATGATCTCACGGTCGTGAGATTGAGCCCAGCGTCAGGCTCCACACCCAGGAGGCTGCTTAAGGTTCTCTCTCTCCCTCTCCCCTTCCTCCCCTCTCTAATAAAAATAAAGTATTCCAGTGGCAGAACATGTGAGAGGTGACCTGTGAAACAAGATGAGCCAAAATGTTGAGAAGTGTTGAAGCTGGGAGATGGACACATGGAGATTTATTATGTTCTTTTCTCTATCTAGCTTGGTCTGTGTTTGAAAATGCCATAATAAGTTTTTTGAAATGCAATTTGAAAGAAAGAGATGAATTGTATTGTCACAGAAAGGTCTGGTAAACTAAGCAAAGAAACTTAGACTTTGGCCTGACAATCTAGAAACCATTGTAATCTAAAGGACCTTAAAGCAATTTCAGTGCACAGCTGGGGAAGAAAACCAAATTTTACATCAAAAGCTAACATCCTGGGGTGGGGGCGGGGAAGGACTGCCGTGTGTCAAAGGGATACGGGGGCCAGTCTGAAAGAGCTCCCAGTGGGCAAACTGGAACAATTTGAGCAACAAATATATAACATAGTGCTGGACTATAAAGAAATGCACAAATGATTGAATAATAAATGAGAAGAGACAAGTCTTCTTACAGAAGAATTTCAAATATCTGTAGATACTGCCCCTTCAAGGAGGCGGACCTTATTCTCCCTCCTCTACTGAGTCAGGGCTACATGGTGACTGGCTTCCAAAGAACGGAGGATAGAAAGGGGAAAATGACAACTTGCAGTGGACGAACCTGACAGACACCACAT